ACCTGACACTTATAGAAGGCTTATTGGCAGGCTATTGTATCTTGGACTTACTAGACCTGATGTTACTTATGCAGTCCAGCAACTTAGCCAATTTGTCAACAGTCCAACAGATTCTCATTGGAAGGCAGCTCTGCATATACTCAGATACTTAAAGGGTTCACCTTCTCTGGGCTTATTTTATCCTTACAGCACTTCTTCTTTCGCTCTTGTGGCCTATTGTGATGCTGATTGGGCAGCCTGTAAGGACACTAGGAGGTCAGTTACTGGGTTTTGCATCTTCTTAGGTGACTCTCTTATTTCCTGGAAAAGCAAAAAGCAGCACACTGTTTCTAAATTGTCAGCTGAAGCAGAATATCATGCAATGGGATCTGCAGTTTCTGAGCTCATATGGTTACATTTTCTTGCTCAAGAATTTCATGTACCTCTGATTTTTCCTATTCCTTTATGGTGTGATAATCATGCGGCCATGCACATCACTGCCAATCCGGTCTTTCATGAGAGGACGAAGCATCTCGAAATCGACTGTCACGTTGTTCGAGATAAATACAAGCAAGGTTTCATCACTCCTCTGTATGTGGCTTCTATGCATCAACTTGCAGATTTGTTCACCAAAATCATAGCTGGATCTCGCTTTGCTACCCTTGTGTCCAAGTTGGGCATGTTGCAGGCTCACCACGGCCCACCTTGAGGGGCGGGTGTTGGAATTAATGGTCTTGCTGCAGCTTAGAGAAGAAAAGCCATGCACGTGTTCAAAGTGCTCAAAGTCGCTGGGAAGTTTTATGCTGTTTTCTTTTGCGTTTTCTTTGTTTTTCATTTAAATTTGGCTGTTTTTCATTTTGTTCTCATACGGCGTCGTTTCACTTAATGAAAACGACGCCGTTTAGTTCTTATTCTTCCTTGTCGTGTTGCATGCATAAATAGACTGGTTGTACGTTGTTTTCATTGATTTTTGATGAAATGATATGAGATTAAAAAATCCCAAAATATCTGGTTCTAGAGATTTGCGATTTTACAGGTTCCCGGCCGAGCCGTCCGATCCGATCTGGTTTTGATAACCTTGGTTAGAATTGTAGAATGTGTTGTTAATTTTATCTTCCAAAATATTGATGGGGTATGTTGAAAACAATAATTACAAATTTACAACAGAGGAAGCACTCCCTTGCAATCAAATACTCCCTCCTTTTCAAAATAAGTGTCGTTTTGACTTTTTTGATTCATCTATTTTGCTATGTATCTAGACATAAATATGTCTAGATACATAGTAAAATGGATGAATCAAAAAAGTCAAAACGACACTTATTTTAAAAAGGAGGTAGTACAATTTAGGAGAAAAAGATAAAAGCATAATTTGGACTATAATTTAAAATTTAATATAAAGAGTGAAAAGGAAATATTCCATGAAATTTGAGTAGGGTTCATTACAATTAATCGGATTTGAGTAGAATTGAAATTTTTAGATTTGAGAGTTTATATTCTGCCGAAACTTGTAGTCTACCTTTGTCAATAGGTGCGCCGATTTGAGTAGAATTTGAAATTTTTTGATTTGAGAGGTTATATTCTACCGAAGCATGTAGTCTATTGTGTGTCGATTTGAGTACAATTTGAAATTTTTAGATATCAGAGTGTATATTCTGCTGAAGCATGTAGTCTATCTTGTGAGATAAAAGAAAATGAATAAGTATGCAAATCAAGCCAATCCAAGTTCCATTTGCAATGAAATCGAAGCAGCCTTCAAAGAAAGAAAACTTTGTGTATAAATTGACGAACTTTGGGCGAAGACTAAAGACTCGCTGTGCTCAAGCTCATGAATTTTGTGTTTAAACTAACTAAGTGTTAAAATACATACTTGTGAGTTGTCCCACATCGTGTAATGACGTAGCCGTCACCTAGCCCAGTTGGGATTGGGCCTCATATGAAGGACTCACAAGTGAGGGAGAGTGTCACACATCCTCTATACAGGGAAAAGAAGCATAACTTATAAGCCTAGAGGGTTACTCCTCCTACCACATTGGTTTTATGATAGAACCCCACTAAGGTCCATCTAGGCTCACCCTGCTTTTGTGCTCTTCAAATCTGTGGGACCGCACCCGTCAACCCCAGTTTTCTTCACTAAGCCATGTATGACAAAACAGGCGAACTGTTAGACCATATGTAGTACCACAGTTTCACAGAGAACAAAAAATTAGGCGATGTAAAGAAGCAAAAAGAGAACTTATGAACTCGTAACGGTGTACAATTATATAAGTCACAAGTTTGCGGGGAATATTCTAAACATGAATCAAGAAAATTACATCCAAACTTTGAAACGGGGACATACTGTTACATATTAAATATGTGTTTCGATTACACGGGAACCTATGAACTGGCTGAAGAGTTTAGTTCGTACAATATGAACTAAAAACATAAATGAAATTACGAATCGAATGCAGACAGATTAGAGTTGAAGCGATTGAAATCTTTACGCAAGACAAATAGCCTCGTATATTGTTGACGGGTCTGTGCATAATATCCCCAAAGATACAACGGCTAGCTGCTCTAAAGATGTAGCACACCAACTTCATAGCTCAGACGAACAAGAATAAAGTCGAGAACTGAGCACGTATGTTATGATGCGTGAGGCTTATTTCTCGAGAGTACAAAATGCAGATGAGTTTCGTGTGTATTTTTCCAGCTCTAAACAGTGTCCTATTTATAGGATTTCCAGCCAACAAGGGATGACTCGTCAGCTTGTAACCGCCAAGCAATTAACAACCATTCATGGTTGTTTTAATTGCAAAACTTTTCAGGTTTAGATCATCATTAATCCACCTTATAACTCCTGAAACCGTCAAGTGGTGGACAATTGAAAGGTCATACGTCCAAGTTCAATGGACCTGGAAAGATGTCACACGGGATGGGTCAAAACCTATGTGACCAAAGCCAACACCAACACTTGGTGCATAACTTTGTTATTGTTGTGACATCTCCAATTCTCTTTATTATAATAAAGTGAGTTAATATCATTTGAAAGTCCTGTGTGGGATAGGACTTTTGACCATTTAAATCTCACAACCAAAGTTTTGTGTGCCCATTTATGGCTAACCCTAATCATTTATTTCTCATTCACTGAAAATTAATTTTGAAAAAATAAATATACCACGAGTATCTACTCGAAAAGTAGATTTCTTCTACACAATTTAATTTAAACCCCAATTAAATATTTAGCCATCAAAAAATCAGTCAAAACCAGCTCAAACTCAATTTTATATAACTGGTTTTCCAACAATCCCCACATGAGTGGACATCAAATGTATGCATGTATGCAGACTCTTATGCTCAATTCTCATAAGACTCTATTGCATCTTAAAAGTAATTTGTGGCTTTGGACCTTTCTTAGTAAAGATCATCAGATGTACTGACAACTTAGTGGACATAGTGCCTTAAACTATTCCTCCATATCGTACACCAAGACAATTATATAACTCCATTCTGTTCTATTATTGTGTTCGTTTTGCATGGAGAACACTTTGAATTCTTAAGTGTTTATATTTGAAGTAGCCATCACTTCACACTTATATAGGTGAACTCCCTGTCAAGAGTATCATGTATTACTCCACCTTTAGAAGGTTAGGGATTCATTAAAGTACAGATGATTTACTCTCACCACAATCAACAGGTAATCTTACACTTGGATTGCTTTAGGAAATAACTTCTTATGTTCAGTTGAATTTTCATTGTTTAGTTTTCCCCTTGAATCAAGTTTATGAGATCTCCATCGAGCTAGATAGGGTTACCATTATGATTGTCATTTCATTGTGGATTTTTAAGCTCATTCCCTCTAACAGTATTCTCAATTGATCTCTGTTCAATCTTTTAGTAAAAGGGTTAGCCAAATTTTCTTTATATTTCACGTAGTCAATAAAAACAATATCATCTGTGAATTTGTTGAATTGACGAACGGTATTATGTCTATGACGAATATGTCTAGACTTACCGTTATACATATTGTTTTGCGCCTTTCTTATATCAGTTTGGCTATCACAGTGAATCATCACATACGACAAAGGCTTATTCCAGCATTGAATATCAAATTAACAAAGTTGTAAATAATATTTGGGTTACAAATATAACTTCAGAAATGTAGTTAAAATAGTTATCTTTTTTTTTTTTTAACAATTTGAGACTATATAATGTGAGTCATTTTAAATAGTTATCACTCTATACATTATTTATTGTATATTTATTTTATTTTAAATAATTTTATCACTCTATGAGTTATACATTATTTGTTGTATATTTATTTTATTATTTCACGATAAAGATATAAATACTTTTATACATTCATTTTATTCATTACACAAACTTCTTTTTTTTTTCTTTTTTTTTTAATATATATCAAGCACCCACGAAATTATTAGTATTATGTTTTGCAAAACAGTAAACCACACTGTGATTGTGTTCATTTGCACATGCAATAGGAACGAAAACTTCAGATATAGAATGGAAACATCTTAATTCTTATCTATTTTTCTAGGAAAAAAAAAAGTGATGTTAAAAATTAGAAGAAGAAAAAGAACATGAATATACAGAAAGGCAAACTCAAATTAACCTGTCATTGTAAAATATTTATACCTCGTCCAACTCTATCACCAATTAAATTTTTATAACACCTGAGAAAGGATCTACAAAACCGGGAAAAAAAAAAATGAAAATTGCTCAAGAGCTGACATTTTTGGCATCCCTTCAGCTACAAACACACATGCATTGAAGATTTCCGGACTTTGCAAAGGAAATCCCTTATCTGAAAGCATCAATTTAATCGTGTCCACACCGTGCTGCATAAAATCGAGATCATATGGACAACAGTACTTTTCTGTGTAGTTACTAAAAATTGGGCAAGAGCAAATCCTCTTTGACCATCCTTTGGTCATTCTAACAGCCATAAAAAGCAGCAGCACGCTTTTACTCTATACTAATCGTGTTAACTTTTTTCAGAAGAAAAAGAGAATAAAGTTCAACCTTCATTCGTCTTCAGCTATAAAATTGGGCAATTCACCCTGGCACAAGTACTCATCACATAACGAAGCCGAACCCCAGTCCTTTCGAAGCCGCAAGATATCCTCAGTGAAAGTGGAACCAGGAGAACCGATAAACACTTTGGACAAAGCACATATGGCCTTATCCAACATTGCTTCGACCTTCATCACCAAATGAGATTCAGGTGTTAGAAATTAAAGTTCATGTTGATTGTCTATTATTACATATGCAACTCCAATGTATAACAAGCAAGGTTAGCTCTCATCTACATTGAGGGGAAAAGAACTCATTTTAATTCCCACCTTCACAAGAACTCTTCGGAATTATTTGTGTTCTCTTGTATATTGCATATGAAAGTATGACATTAAAAGCAAGGTTAGTTGTTGTCTGTAATCAGTAAATGTTCTTATTTACCACACAATAATTTTTTAGAACTGATAAAACTTTCTGAATATCAGTCAAGCATAAGGTCCATTAACTAATCTGATCTTTAGCTTAATTACAAGAGAGCATCAGTTACCTTTGAAAATTGCAAATAAATTCACCCCCTCATAATTTCTAATTCAATTATAGAAGCATCCTTTCTCATGTGTGAAGTTCAAAAAGGAGGTCTATCTTTAATATGAGCACTTTCTTTTCTATGTATGACTCAATCTTGAAGCTCTCTTTTGTAACTAACCCAAGTACCTACTATAAGATTAGAGAACCGGGGCAAGAGTGCGGTCCCACACAGATGAAACGCACCATAGTGAGTTTCCATCCCAAAACCAATTGGTGATGAGAAGAGTAGCCCACGAGCTTATAAGCTAGGCCCAATTTTCCTATGGAATCAATGTAGGACAACTCACAAGTGATACTCCAACACCTACTACATCAAAAACTTCCGGGAGCATTTTTGAGATATATGAGTCATACCATGGTAAGAAAGTTTTCCATAATATGAAAAGCAACAAAAAAATGCTCTCGGAAATACTAGAATCAACAAACAAGCAAGCCATAAAGTAGCATAGTAACATGCAATTAAAACTAATAAACCCGAATCAAACGAGAACTCACCTGGGAATCCCCAGTGAGCCCGTGTCTGTACAACAAAGCATCCCACTTTTCAGCTACATTACTAGCCGGTCTTTGAACAAGCGGAACAGTCTTCCCGTTCCAGACAACAAGTGACTGCAGCAAACCTGTCTCACTTTCAGCAGCATCTGTTGACAGATATATAACCGGACTATTTGCTCTTTCAACCACTCGATTGATGCACTCGGCTGCTTGAGGAACAGGATAAAAGCAACTCGGTTTCTTGGCATTACTGGAAAAAGGCTGAGTGAATTCAGTTAACATGATACGTTGGTTCCCAAAAAGAAAAAGAAAACAAACATATAAAAGAATGAGAAAGTACCAGAATTTCAAGAAACCATGGCGCCGGAAATGAAGAGCTATAAAGTCCTTCCCTAAGAATGTCTGAACAAAACGTTGAGCCGTGAGCAAAATAAACCGACTTGGCTCGATCAAAGTCTTGCATTTATGTGCAATAGGACCACCTGGCTGCATCACCCACTCTGTCTCGATGTTGGCAAAGAATACATCCCCAATTGCAATAACATCATCATCCGAAGAAAACCGGTCTAAAACATCCTGGACCGTCCGATTTTTTGGCTCCTTAACATCCTCCTCCCAAACAGTCTCAATCTTACTCAACAATAGCCCCAAATCCTTTAATTTCTTCACATGATCATCATCCAGAAAACAAGGCTGTGGCAACGAGAAATAACACAGAAATTTATCTACTTGCATATGGTTTTTCTTAATCTCGGCAAATTCCTCAAAAGTCGTCACAACTTTTTTCCCTGAACAACTATTGATATGGTCTATATCTATGACCCTACTGAACTCGTAATCGACTTTTGCGCTTGGAATCACCAAAACACGGTCAAGCATAGCCGCAAAAAACATGTGCTTCTCCAAGCATATCAAGTGATTCGACATTTGCCCCGAAACGCATACCGCAAGCAAATACTTGTCGGGTCTAGGGTTCCATTCTTTGGTTCTCCTCTCGGATAATCTCTGGTCCACCTTACAGCACCTATCCCAACCCAACGCACTAGTGTTCGTGTAGTTCTCATCAGAGTCCAGGGACCCATTTCCATGGGATGACAACAGAACCCCTTGGATTTGCTTGTTCAACGAAATCTGGCTAAAAACACGAGATTTCAAGTCTTCCAAAACCGATGACGAAAGCAAAAAAGCACCATCTACACTGCTATTACCATTTAAGAAACTAATTTCAGATCTATTCACCATCTTTAAGAGCTCAACTTCCTGCTGCTTGAGCAAATGCAAAGCCTGCAATTCCGACTCACGCATCCGGCTAACCGACGCATTACTATTCACTAGATCTTCACTCCAGGACGTGCGCGCCCGGAAAAAATCCTTCACATCGGTGGCCAAAAACAGAACGAAAATCGAAAAGAGAAGAATTATCGCGAAAATACACCATTTTCCGAACCTGTTAGATGCGCCGGAGGACGCGCTTCCGGGGACGCCGCCGATTCGAAAAGTGGATCGAGCAAGGTGATCCGGGGACTTCCGTCCATTACTCCGACCCTCGCCATTGGTTATTAGATTTTCACAGTCGTCGTCTTCGTTAGTAGGCTGAGGTTGCATCATTTTGCTGCTCACTTTATGGCAGTCTGAGGCTGGAGGTACAATCAATGAGGTGAGAATGGAGGAAAACACACAGAAATACGTTTAACTGTTTTGTGTAATTTTTACAGTTGTGTGAGGGAGCGCGTGAGTTGATCGGAAGAGCCAGATAGTCGGAGAGGACGATGGCCCAATGTTAGATTGGGCTGTAGGGAACGAGCCATTGTGAATTATGGTCGCGTATAAGCGTGGCCCGGCCCATTTGTCCTCATTTTCTCTCTTTTTTTTTTTTTTAAGAAAAGACTAGATTGTCAAATGGTAGAGCAGAGAGAAACAGTATAGAAAGTGTAGGGAGTGTTCATCTTCAATTACTGAAAAGAGTAGATACAATAATGATTTTCAGATTACAGTGTTCAACTAATATTTGGCTATATGTAAAGCCCTCATCAGTTAAGGAAAAAGGATTATAAAGGAAAAGACTAAGATACCCCTTACAACTTTAACTAGTAAAGAATACATCATATGGTCAACAGCCCCCCTCAAGCTTGGTACTTGATGAAGATCAACAAGGCCAAGCTTGAACCTAAGTACATTAAAAAAGGAAACACCCAAAGATTTAGTAAAAATATCAGCTAGTTGAAGAGCTGATGAAATCTTCTTAGGAGTGACAAAACCAGCCTTGTACTGATTCCTCACCAAGTGACAGTCAATGTCCAAGTGCTTGGTCCGTTCATGGAACACCGGGTTAGCTACAATATGTAAGGCAGCCTGGTTGTCACACCATAGAGGAATAGGAACATCCACAGAAATAGCCAGGTCTTGTAGGAGAAAAGACAACCACTGCAGCTCACAGACAGTAATGCGTTGTCAACAGTTCTTCAGTAATGCGTTGTCAACAGTTCTTCAGCAAATGTACGCGCGAAATTCATAAAGTTCATACGCCCCTTTGACAACTCTTTGATGTCATTATCCAAGTCCCCAAACATCAATGGAGTTATAGCTCAAATAATATAAGGTTCAACTCACGGTAACTGTAAGGAAGTGAGAAAAATATATGTTCTCTATATTATTCAAAAGACATGTACACGTATATATAGGAACATAATGAGCCTAAATCTAATCATACAATATATATACAAAATATATTATAACCATATATACAAAATATATTTTAACACCCCCCTCAAACTCAAGGTGGTATAGTAGATATCAACTTGAGTTTGCTAAGAAGTAAACAAAAGCGACCGGGAAGGAGAGACTTCGTGAAGACATCCGCTATCTGATTCGAAGAGGAGACAGAAACAAGTCGTACAGTCCCATGGGTAACATGCTGGCGAATAAAATGACAATCAATCTCAATATGTTTGGTACGCTCATGAAACGTATCATTATGAGACATCTTGACAGCGCTCTGGCTATCACAATGAAGAGCAGTAGAGGATGACTGAGGGACACCAAGATCAGCAAGTAATCGACGCAACCATAATAGCTCTGCGGTGGAATCAGCAAGAGCACGATACTCAGACTCGGCACTCGAACGGGAAACCAAGGTTTGCTTCTTACTGCGCCAAGAGACAAGTGAATCACCTAAGAAGAAGCAATACCCGGTAGTGGAGCGACGATCGGTAGGATCTCCAGCCCAATCTGCATCAGAATAGCCGCTAAGGGACAAGGAAGAACTCGCCGAGAAATGTAAACCATGCAATAAGGTGCCCTTCACATAGCGAAAGATGTGCAACACAGCAGAATGATGCGTGGTTCTCGGAGGAGCCATAAACTGACTCATAATTTTGTGGAACCAAAAACACCTGATAGCTGAAAATTAGGGTTGTCAGAAAAACCCACCGGGTCGGGTTACCCGCGGGTAACCCGAAAAATCGGGTCGGGTATACCCGATAAGAGCGGGTTTTGGGTCGGGTTTGGGTTTTTCTTTTGTACCCGGAGACCGGGTCGGGTCGGGTACGGGTTTACCAAAAAAATCCATTACCCGACCCGTTTACCCGGTGGGTTTTTTCTACCCGACACGATTTTTTACCCGCACACTTAATTACTATAGATACAAATAAATATACAAAAAATATATGTTCCAAAAAAAATAATTTAGTAACTAAAATATTTTAAAATTTTTATATATATTGAAAAATGAATATGGAGTATATTCATATAATTTGGACATAATATTTTGTTACTTTTTCTATTTTTATAAGTATGAGCATCACATATATAAATATGATCAATTTATATTTTTTATATAAAAAAAGAATAACTCTAATTATTATAAATGACATATATATAATAAATAATAATAAACAAGATAATAAGTTTATACGAGTGTAGTTTGTTTTATATATTTACATCTTTACAAATATTTAAAATATGAGTAACTA